ACCAGGTGGGACAGTCCCCATGTCCCTAAGGGACAGGTACAAAACGCTGCCTGTTCAACGGGCCCTGCAGCTGTGTGTCATGGTTTCGGCTGGGATGGAGCTGACTTTCTCGCTGGAGCTGGTGCAGGGCTGTGTTTTAGGGCTGGGATGGGACCACTGATGGGGGTTCGGGGGGTTGCTGGGCACTCAAAGCCTTTTCTGCTCCTCACACCAGCAGCGAGGGGCTGGGGGGGCATGAGGGGCTGGGAGGGGACAGAGCTGGGACCGCAGTTACCCCAAGGGATACCCCATGCCATATGACATCATGGCCAGTACATAAAGCTGGGGGAAGAAGGAGGAAGGGGGGACATTGGGAGTGATGGTTTTGTCTTCCCAAGTCACCTCTGCGTGACGGAGCCCGGCTTCCCTGGGGATGCTGTCTGTGTGACGGAGCCCGGCTTCCCTGGGGATGCTGAACCCCCCCCTGCCAGGGGAGCAGGGAATGAACCCCCTGTTTTGCTTTGCTCGTGTGTGCAGCTTCTGCTTTCCTTATTACACTGGCTTTATCTCAACCCATGAGGTTTTTTCTCACTTTTACCCTTCCCATTCTCTCCCGATCCTGGTGGAGACGGCTCCGCTGGCCGCATGCCACGCTCCTGGAGCACGGGAAGGCGTCGAGGGGAAGGGAGGCAACTCCAGGAAACGCACAGAAAAATAAAAATAGCAAAAGAAAAACTTGGGAAGGAGCAGTAGCGGGGGAAGCCCTGGCTGGCCAGGCTCTGCCCAACCACGAAGACCTTTCTGAAATGAACAACCCAAACGGATATGCTCCTTTGTGTTTATTTATTCCTTAGCAGGGATAAACGATAGCAAGTTTATTTTCATTAGCAGTTTACATTCTATTCCAGGCTTTGGAGCATCCCGCCAGGTGGGGAGAGGGAGAAGTGGGGAAAGTGGCTCCAGTGACAGTGGGAGGCGAGGGAGAGCAGGCAGACGGAGCCCTGCGTGAGCACAAATGTTCTCCCAGGGAAAGAAATCAATTAAAGCAGGTTTTTTGGGGGCTCATTTAAACTTTTCAGGCTGTGCTTCCCGCTGCCTCTTCCCCTCCGTGCCCCCCAGATGTGTCCCCACACCGGCACCCGGGAATGGAAGGTGAAACCAGGCGCTGGAAATCAGCGACAGAAAATCCCGAGGGCAGGAATCACAGCAAATCCCAGGAAGAATTCACACTGTCCCAGGGCGTTGGGTTTCCCCTCGGCACCACGACGGGCTCTGGCTCACGGATACCAAATCTGTTTGCTCACCTACCAACCTGCACCAACGAAAGGGGCTCTGCACCATCCCCTTTACGGGAAGTGTTTTCCAACTTTCACACCTGCTCCTCGTCTCATCAACGGACTCAGAGTTTCTCTGAAAAAAAACCAAACCACTGACTGTACTTTTGTGTCTTTTTCTACATGCAAATGAATCATAGAATCACCTAGGTTGGAAGGGACCTTTCAGATCATCTAGTCCAACCATCCACTAAACACTAAGAAAACCCAGCACTAAGCCGTAGCACCAAGCTCTGCGTCTGCCCGTCTTTTAAATGTCTGATATCCTTTTCAGGCAATTTTCCAACGGCGCCGGCAGGAAATCCTTATGACACAAGCAAACCAGAAGATCAGTATCATGTTATTGCTACTGAAACAGGTAATGCTTTCACATGGCTTTAGTGTTCTGGTAAAAATATTAACGGTGGACTCGGTTAAATTAATCTTTAACATTTTCCATTCCTGTCAGTGGGAGGAAGGAGTCCATTTCCCCAGGAAGAGCCCTGAAGGAGTATACTTTCGAGTAACGTTTCAAGAGTTTAGTCAGTCCCCTTTGTAACTGTGGAAACAAATCATTCCCACATCTCCCCAAACTTTGATCCAAATCCATGGTTTAGCAGCCCTTGAAAACTGCCCCGTTGTCTTTGACCCTGGTGAGTCTGTCGAGACACAAGGTTTCAGCGGTGTCCCCCCGGCTGTGGCCACCAACACCTCACCTCTCTCCTCCTCCTCCTCAACTCTCTCCCAACCTCAGTTTCTGACCACAACTGAGTGACTTTGAGAACATCCAGGCACTAATTTAAAATCGAAGGCTCCCAAAACACCAATATTTCAATATTTCAAGCTGCAGAGACACCGCTCTGTGCGGCTTCATGCTTTGGCCGAAACCCCCCAGGAACCACTCCAACAGCGCGTTCCCAGCAGCTCTAATTCGGGGGGAAACAGCAAAGTTTGGGCAATTCAAAGCTTCGCTCTCCAAAAAACGATAAACAATAAATGTTCCAACTTAAGACGCTGTTTCAAAAAAAACGACCCTTTTCTTCCAAACAATCTGAGCTTTGACGAACTGCTATTTTGCAAGGAAAGTAAGATTAGTGGAGACTAATCCCGGCTGGATCGCGCCGTGCTAAGGATTAGGGAAAGGGGTTGTGGCGGAGGGAGCGAGGCGAGTCTCGGGATTTTTATAAATAAAAATGAGGCAGTGACCCCTTTATAAAGCATTTTATACCTTCGCATAAAAACACCCACCTGCGGCATTGGGCATCTGTGCTCAGGCACTTCCTGCGACAGGTTACACCCTTAATATTTGCTTTATTCATCAATATTCCCAACTGGAAAGCCCTGGTTTTCATTGCTCTCATTCCTCATTTTACCCTAGTTGGCTTTTTTTTTTTTTCTTTCAACGATATTATTTGCTGTTTCCTTCCCAGTCATTTATTCTCTCCATGATTAATGTTTAATGATTCTCTGGGTATACGTTTTGCCAGAGAGCCAAAAGCAAAGAGCTGTTCTGTGGCTTCTCCCACCCTTCGAAGCGCGGCGCCGATAACACCGAGCTAAAAAAGGTAACGAGGAAGAAAACATTCAATATTTCTATTAGGAGACACTTCATTAAGGTAATTAAGGCAATCATTTAAAGCAGTTATGGGGATTATGAACACACAAAAGAAATTACGCAATAGGGTTCTCGCAAGCCAGGCAGACTTTCCACCATTTTATGATGCCTTTAAGAATAACTTTCGGGGCTTTAATAAGCTTTTGAAAATAAAGAACTCATTTCTTGGCAAAAGGACGGGGCCTTCCCCGCACCTGGGAAGAGCGGATTGGAGGCCTTGGTGATTTTCTTTTATTTAATGTGCAACGAGGATGGCAAATAACTGAAATAACTCGTTTAAATTGTGTTGCTTGAAAAAATATATTTACCCCAAAGCGCCCACTGATGATGTCACATAGATCCACGGGGGGGCCCTGCGGCCACCGCCCCACCATTTGTTAATTAACACGTGAAAAATGAAGCAGGCACGACCGACTTGGGCGAAGAGGCATGACACATTTTTTTTCAAAATCCCTTAATTAATTAAAAAGCCTGAAGGGTTTTTCTACTCGCTCAGAGGCTACTTTAACCCCCGCGGGACAAAATCCTCCCCGGCCCCACAGGGACCCGCTCGTGCCAGCTCGGGGGGTTCCAGGGAATGGCTCAGAGACATCCAGAGCAAAAAAAGCGCAATAATTTCAGACATTTTTAGCAGCATCTCTCCCGCATCCCATGGATACTCTTAAATTCTGTGGATCATGCAAAATATTCCTGTTTCCAAAGCGATTTGCGCCCCGAACCCCCCCGGGAGAGGGGAAGAGGGGGTCACCCTGCTTCAGGGCGAGGTGGGACCCGCGCTTTGGGGAGTGTTTTTTCTACTCAAAGTGACATTTAGTGCCTTAACGCATCTTTTAGGGCTTTGTGACAAACTAGACGACTCCACCGGTGCTTTAAAGTGACTTTATTTAAATTATAACCTCATAATCACAACACAGCTGTATGTTATTTTTGTGCTTCTTCCCCGGGGAATCCTTTTCTGTCCTCTTTCCTACACATTTCTTGTGTAACTACGTTAAACCTCTGAAAATGCACCATATAACTCACAAACCTGCAGGAGCAGAGCCTTCAGGACACAGCATTTGCATAAATACGCCCACTTGAGATAAAACTTTGCATCAGTCTCAAATGTTTTTTACTCTTTATTATTAACTTATGCAGACACAAAGTCAAATATGTTTTATTCTGTCCAAAGTCTTCGTGCTCAGCCTGCAAAGCACATCCGAGTGTCCTTCCAGAGCAGACCATGAGATTGGTTTGATCTAAGAGTCCTGAAGAACTGTGATATAATGCTCAGAAATAGAAGAGCAGAGTATTAGGACGAAAAAAAAATATCCAAAACAAACAAAACACTAAACAAACCGGAACCCAACCGCCCTAAAACACGTTTAACGCTCGGCTGCAGGGGACGCGTAAGCAGGATGCTCGCATGAGTGAGCAGCGGGGACAGGCCTGGCTTCAGCTCCCTGTGCCCTCAGGGCAGCCATTTTACCTCAGCGCGGCCCAGCCGGTCCCAGCCCGCCTCCGTCCTCCCCTGGACCCTCCCGCCCGCCTCGGGAGCGGGCAGAGCTCAGATTCCCTCACGCCACAACGTGCCGGGGCCGTGACTACGGCCACAGCCCTCCCGTCCGTGGCGGACACCAACCCTCTACCCCCGACCCCCGCCGCCGCCATCATCCCGCCTCCCCATGGCGGCCCCCGCGGTGCATTGTGGGACACGCCCCTCGCCTTGGCGCCAACCGCCGCCGCGGTGCACTGTGGGATACACCCGCCCCTGCCCCGGCCGGGCCTTCTTGGCGCGGGCGCCGCACCGGATGTGACGCCACACGGCCTGCCGCCATACCGACCGCGGCCGGGGGTTGCGTTCTTCTCCCGCGGCGCTTCAGGAGCGGCTTTACGAAGGAGAACCGGGCTCACCGCGTCCCCGCGCTCAGCAGCGGAGCCGCCAGCACGGGCTCGGCTTTTTCGGTGGGGCCGCGAGGGGGTAGAGAAGGGAGGAACTATTTTTCTCCGGCGCGGCGCATGCGCAGGGCGGAGGAGTGGGGGCGCGGCGGAAGACGTGGGCTCTGCCTTGGTTCCCTGCCAGCGCGGGCGGTGCTGCGTCCCGGGGTGAAATCGCTGCGCGCAGTAGGAGCGCGAGGGGAGCCGCCGTCGCCATTTTGAAGCGGTTGTTGGGGGAGGCGGCGTGTGCGCTCCCCTCTGCCCGGCCCGGCCCCGCGCCCTCTCCTCCCGCCCGCTCTCTGCGCTCCGGCCCTCCACCGCCGCAGCCATTGCCGACCTTGCCATGTCCGGAGGGGGCGTGATCCGCGGCCCAGCCGGCAACAACGACTGCCGCATCTACGTGGGGAACCTGCCCCCCGACATCCGCACCAAGGACATCGAGGACGTCTTCTACAAGTACGGGGCCATCCGCGACATCGACCTCAAGAACCGCCGCGGGGGCCCGCCTTTCGCCTTCGTCGAGTTTGAGGACCCCAGGTGAGACCCCTCTCCCCCGCTCCTTTGGGGTGTCCGTGTGTGTCCCCCCCCCGGGCCTGAGGCGGGGGCTGCCTCTCCCCGCCCTGCGCTATCGGGCCTCGGTA